GTGTGAGAGTGTGCTTGTGCTGGGGTTAAGAGAAGGAGGTTATAAAAGCATGAACAGACTGTATCGAGTTTTCAGCATGGATATGTCATATCTTTCACCATTTAAAGACAAAGGCAGCACTGAATCTTTTCAGCAGCGCACAACACATTTCCAAGCCTTTCACTCCACAAGGCAGCAGATCCAGTCTATTCAGAAGTACACTTTATCCTTTTAATGAGGTAGTTTCCTCTATTAAAATTATGTGAAACCTAGTTCAAAGCTGCAAGAGATTATTTTGGACTTTCACTACTACTGGCTGCAATAGTCTGCACTTTCATATAGCAAGTCACAGATGACCATACCAGTTTTGACCTCTGGAGTGGCAGGATATTGCCCCTAAAGAGTTGATGTCATACCAAAAACAAATGCAGGATGATGAGACATACACTGGAGGGCTGCAGGGACTTACAGGGGCCTGCTGGGTTATCTGAATGAAGGCATTGCCTGAGCTGCTCCCACCAGAACCCAAAGTTGCTCAGGGAAGGGTCTGGCTCCTGCTCCATGTCATTTTGCTTCCTCACTCCCCTCTCCAAAGCAGAACCAGTGTTGAAAAGGGAAGGAAACAAATCAACACTATAAAATACTAGTTCCTTAAAAAAATGCCTCTCTCTGTGGATAGCACACAGTTTGCTGAGCCTGTCTCTTCTGCGCCTCAGGCCTTGGGCCAGTCCAGTTTTGATCCCTTGCCAGAGAAATGGTGGAAGTGTGTGTCCACTTTGCTTTCCACAGAGCAATGGCAAGTCCACAGGCTTGGCAAACACTGACCAGCTGCTGAGACCTGCCAGGGTGACGGCGCGGCTTTCAGCCAGCCCTGACTCAGCTCCATGTCTACACCTCTGCCACACAAACCTCCCACTCCTGCACCGTCCCTCATCCACTCCTGCCTTGCACTGACACACATGTGGGTGGAGGAGAGTCACTGGTACTTTATTCGCCACTGGACAATGCTTTTCCCATTCCTCTCAAAGCCTTCCTGTTTTTCTGCTAATCTGGCACAGCAAATGCATTTTAATAATGGCACCTATTCAGATTAGTTTCCTTTTACACACTGATGAATTCCACCTGCTTGGAGCTCCCACAAATCCAGGGAGAGAGACTACAGATGTTCAGTGAGCACAGTGCCCTGGGTCTTGGATTCCCAGCACCATATGAATACAACACTTGCATTTCCACCTTTTATGAATGTTGATATGCTACGCAGACTGTAGATAAGCCCACCTGTGAATGTATTCAGCTGGTGTGTTAAACTTTCAGCAGTGCAGCTGTACGAAATCGTATGTTTTCTCGTTTGGATTGCAAGGAGTTCACTTTGAACAGACAATGGATCTAAGCTTGAACTACTCTTGTTTCCACCAATCCTCTCATACAAAATTGCAAGACAGATCCCAGCCCTGAAATACAAAATCCAGAGAGCTGTTCCAGCTCATCCTAGTAAGGGTGAAGCCAATAACCATGTCCAGAAATAAGTAGGTCCTGGAACTGTAAGGAGGCCCAGAAAAAAACATTGTGCTATAATTAGGGAACCATGTTCTCTGAGCTGTTTCAATGAACTGTGGTATATTCACATGCACTGTCTTTAAAGCATCAAAATTACAATAGAAAAGTGTAAAAAGTTCCTTGGGAACTGAAATTCAGAGTATCCCACTCTTATTAAAGTGGTATGTTCTGCTCAGCACATTAACATTTCAGTTTGGCTGCCTTAAAATAGTTAAGCGGATAAGTGTTTCTATACACATTTTGTCTTTTTAGTCAGTTTGCCACCTATTTGAGATCTATTTTCAAATACATATTACCTGCTCTAGCATGAAAATCCAGTGTTGAATCACATGCATTTCAGCAGTCTTTTCAGTGTGTATATGAGGATTTATCATCTTCAATTTAGCAAGTTTACAGAACATAGCCAACAGCTTTTCTTTGCTTCCAAATAAAGTATGGAAAGTACAGTCTGTGGCAAGGAAAGCAGAAGATGAAAAGGCCCATCTGGGTATCTTTCTTTTTGTTGCAGCTGTTAAAAACTGAAACCCATTCTCTGTCAGAAAAATAGAATTCAGTAGTTAATAGGAAGAGAAGTCTTCGTATGTTATTTACATAAAACATAGAGCATGTGGCTCTTTCAAAAACAAAACCCATTCCTGCTGTAGATAAAGACAACTGTAAGAAGAGCACAACAAGAAGCTGACAGACAAAGAAGCTGGGAGATTATAAAATTACATATGAAGTTCTTATTCTTTGACTTTCCTACAAGGGCAAAATCATGAAAAATATGCAAAGTGGTCTCCAGATTTAGCACAAGCAGATGAATTACTGTGGGTGAGGTTACTGTTCTTATGTCTGGGAACTGCCAGGGAAGAACTGCCACTCAAACAACTGAGTGATTCTGCATGGTGTCAGCACAGGGGGAACTGGTCATATAATAAAAACAAAGTTGTGTTGCAGGACTTCAAAGACTAACTGAAGGCTTGTGATTTACTGAGATATAGCAAGGCATCACCTGTAAAAATGTGATGTGTAGTAATTTGCAGCACAATGAAATCTTGGATATATCCAACAGCTGATATGATCCAGGAGTGAGATCAACTAGAAAAATTATATTAAAAAATATATGTGTTAATTTTGGAGGAGAAAATCTATGAAAAATTAAGTCGAGGATTTATGTTATGGTTCAATGATACTTATAAATTGCTACATTCAGTTGGTATTTCCAAGAAAGGGGTTCCAAAGAGAAATCTTGAATTAACAAAGAAGTGGTATTTCACGTATATGGCAAGTTTTCACTTACAAAGTATGAAATATCAGCAGTTGGACATCTAAGGTAAATACTACAGCACATAGTTCATTATTTACGGCAATTATAGAAAAGAGGGAAAGCTTTTCAGCAAAAGCAAGAGAAATAATACTTTGTTAGATACTTAATCTACTTCCACAATTATAACGAACTTTCAGCTGCATCACGTGTCTTGATACTTAAAAGTTAATGCACTGATCATCTTCATAAAGGAAATGTTGCTGTATAAAGGTACAGAGTTCTTGCAAACAATAGGGAAAATTAAATATATGTATAGGACTTCTCTGCAGAGACATGGAGATAGCACGTGTCAATATTTACTGTTCTCACTAAGTCACTACAAAGTGTTTGTTTTCATCTCTGAAAGTCATTTGCTGATAAAAGATTAACTCTTGAGAGATTATAAACACCTGCTTCTGTGCTAAGCCAGCAGAACATGTGTCTGCCTTGAACACACCAGGCCTGGTCAAGTGCAATTACCTCAATAAAACTTATAAAGTTGAGGTGTTTTAGAGGAGGGTGGGGGCAGACGATACTGATATCATGCCTAAGACATCTTACTGCATATTTACTACCTGTTACACTCCAGATTTAAAGCCATAAGCTGCCCAGAATGGTTACATTTTATTTTAGACTTTTAAAAAGCCTTTTGGTTTGTTATAACCTCACATTTCCGTCTGGAGAAAACGTCACACATACACTTCTCTAAGAGAAATTCTTTTAACCTAGTGAGAAAAATTATATTTTGGCAAAAGGTTTTACAGGAGTAAAATACAACCAAGAAAAAATATTTCACTAAAGCACTCAGCACAAAGATGCATTCCACAGAATACACCTATTGCAAATAATCAATATATCATCTTCAGTAAAACACAATCCATTGGCTTTAAGTTACCCACGAGAGAGGGAAAAGAGTAAAAGAAGAAAACATTAAAAAGGTAAAGAATGAGAGAAAAAAGAGAGGTGAGAAAGGAAAGAAAAATGGTTATTGACAAGATTCGAGGATTCACATGGTGCAGACAGCAGGAGAAAAGAGCAAGTAAGAAAAGGAAAAACAGTTACCAACAAGATCTGATGGTTCACGTGGTTCAGGTTGCAGGAGAGAAGAGAGAGCAAGCTCAGGTGGAGTCTTGTGTATTTATACAGTTTGGTTTTCCCTCCCAGGCAGGATATCTGGCCAGTGCCTTCCAGGCCAGAGTGAGATGAGCTGTAGCCAGTCAAAGGCTGCAGGGGCATGGTATGGGCAGGCTACCAGGCAGGTTTGCCTTGACTGATAGCCTGGCTACACGGCCTTCAGTGATGCCACGTGCTCTCAGCAAGCCTCATTTGATAAGGTAGGCCTTACTGTGTACCTGCAGGTCTAGGCCCAGTCCATCCCCACATACACACAGCCACATGGACAGTGAGTTGGTTCTGACCCATAGCAATAATTCAGTGACATTCACATCCAGTATCTAACACTACCATCATAAAATCCTAGCGCTGATAAAATCATATAATCCTTTAGGTTAGAAAAGTTCTCTAAGATCATCAAGCTCAACCATTAACTCAGCACTGCCAAGTCCACCACGAAACCATGTCCCTAAGTGCGACATCTCCACATCTTCTAAACACCTCCAGGGGTGGTGACTCCAGCACTTCCCTGGGTAGCCTCTTCCAATGCTTGACAACCCTTTACATGAAGAAATTTTTCCCAGTATCCAACCTAAACTTCCCCTGGTGCAATCTGAGGCCTTTTCCTCTTGCCCTGTCGCTTGTTATCTGGGAGAACAGACCGATCCCCACCTGGCCACAGCCTCCTTTCAGGCAGTTGTAGAGAGTGATAAGGTACCCCCGAGCCTCCAGGCTGTACATTCCCAACTCCCTCAGCTGCTTCTCATCAGACTTGTGCTCCAGACCCTTCACCAGCTCCACTGCCCTTTTCTGGACACACTTCAGCACCTCAATATCCATCTTGTAGTGAGGGGCCTGGAACTGAACACACGATTGCAGGTGCGGCCTCACCACTGCCCAGGTCCTGCTGGTCACGCTATTTCCAATACAAGCCAGGATGCCACTGGCTTTCTTGGTCACATGGGCACACTGCTGGCTCATGTTCAGTCGCTGTTGACCAGCACCCACAGGGGCTTTCCCTGGGCAGCTTTCCTGCTACTGTTCCCCCAGCCTGTAGCATTGCCTGGGGTTGTTGTGATCCAAGCGCAGGACCTGGCACTTGGCCTTGCTGGATCTCATACCACTGGCCTCAGCCCATTGATCCAGCCTGTCCAGATCCGTTTGTAGAGTCTTCCTACCCTCCATCAGATCAACACTCCCAACCAACTTAGTGTCATCTGTGAACTCGCTGACATTGCCCTTGATACCCTCATCCAGATCACTGATAAAGATATTAAACAGGACTGGCTCTGATATTGAGCCCTGGGGAACACTCTGAGCTAGGCCATCCAGCCAGTTTTTTACCCACTGGAAAGTGCACATACCCACACAATGGGAACACAGTTTTTCCAGGAGACTGCTATGGGAAACACTGTCAAAGGCTTTACTGAAGTCTAGGTGGACCGCATATATCAAAGAAGATAGCTGCTAGCTTCATCTCCAAAAGAGACTTTTTCAGGAAAGCAAAGCCTTTTGAGAACTCATCACATCTATTCTGCTGGTCTCAGTCTGGGAATCTGCATCCCAACCCCCTGGAGTAGAGTGAACAGCCATACAAAACACTTCATGTTGAACCATGCTGTGGTCACTGCAGGGAAGGTGCTGGAGGGATGTCAGGAGGGAAATACCACCAAGCACATGGACTTGAGAGTCAGCAGCAGCTTGGAAAATAGCAAAGCAAAAGAGACAGAATGTGATCTAGCATGGGAAGATGAGTGCTGCTGCTCAGATCTGCATTTCTCACAGGCCCAATTAGTGGTACATGCCATAGGATCTGCAATAGAGGGCAACCACTGTGCATTTATACTCCACAATATATTGAAAAGTATTTCTAAATCTTATATGATTTGGTCACTGCCACAGAAACATGCAAGTATTCACCTTGCAACACGCAGGTGCTATCCTAAGAAAGCATAGGTTCCTCTTAACAGTATTAACCAGATTTTAAAATTGAAAGTATTTATCACTGGAGATTTCAGACTGTAAAAATTTCTGCAAGGCAGGTGGATGTTTCTCTATCCCCCAAGCTTCCAACGAGCCCTTGGAGGAGGACAGGAGTACTCAGTCTGTCATGTCAGTGGTGCTTTGCAGCTGGGGCTGCAATTGCAGGATAAGTTCTGCAGCAAATACCATAAGCAAGTATGAGCCAAAAATTATTTCAAAACCGGCTCTGCAGATATCCTCTTTCATCCTTGGACATCAGTATCTCTGTTTTCCAAACTGAGAAAGGGCTCTGACTGTGTGTATGCTCATGCTGACCTCTGCCTGCTCCCAGCCCATCCTTGTTTGGTCTGATCTAACCTGGAGCTGGCAGAGAACTTCCTTCTCCTCTTGCTGGCTGTGAATTTTGATCACAGTAGCTAATCTGTCCCACCATTTCCATATAAAGAAGAACTAAGATAGATCCAGTCTCCTGGAAGAAAGTTTTATCTGTTAATATTACCAAGTTCTACATACCTCACCATACTAGAAATGGGCTTTTCTACAGCTAAGAAATGTGTTCTGTGCACCTTTTGTCCCTGCCCTTATTGTATGTGCATCACCTTGTGTAAAATTCTTCCCCCAGTTTTTATTCCTGTATTCTGGATGAAGGCCGTCAGTGTTCACAAAAGCAGAGTAAACTACTGGCAATTACACTGCCAGCACAAGTCTTCAAGAAATATACAGTGCACAATTTCCTGGTACTTATATTTTTTTTATTCCATATTACCTGGGGGTACCAGTCCATAGGAAAGGACATCTGGGACCTATTTGCAAAAGTGGTGGTTTGTGGGTTCAATTTGTGTGCACCAGTGGGATTCTGGAAGGAAGCAATTCAGCACTTAAGTACATTTCATCGTTTTCATATATGGCAGGGGAAGTATAGGTAGTTACACAGGCCCAAAGAGATCAGAAAGATTACTTTTAAACTGAAACATTTTATACTTTTACAGCATTTATACAATTCCTCTTAAACCACTGCTTTCCTTTTTAAAATTATCATCAGTGTTTGTTTCCTGTGTGAAACCCGGTTTGTGTCTGGCCAATTAAAGAGAAGATAAATGTGTCAGGAAACTGTTTTGAATACAGTGCCTCAGCTGCAGAATACAGCTTCTCTGAGTAATTGAAATGAAAGTCAGCATCAGTAAAAATAAATTGCATAATTCAGTTGTGGCTGGAAAATTACTATTGAGATTGGCAACCTGATGCAACTATTTCTGTTACTTTCCATTGCATTAGGTAGGGTAATAAATACTTCATAAGAATAATATAGCAAGATTATTTTATTCCATATTGTATATATCAAACAATACAGCTAACAAAAGATTGCCTTTAGGGCAGGAAATGTTTTATTCTCCATTCCTGTTCAGTCAAGAGTCTTTCTGCTGGTTCTGCCAACAAGGATACCAATTAGTGTCAAGTAACATTTTGGTATTACTGATGAGAGACAAAATAAAGGAAGCATAATATGGTGAAATCAATTTACTGTATTAAGAGACAGAAGGATATCTGTCTTGTTTTTAAATTGGATCTAGAACTCAGTAAGATGGGTGGGAGGGTGTTGGGGAGAGAATACCGCTCCTGCCATTTCACAGTTTATACGCCCAATTCTGTACTGGGAGTTTCCATTTCGAGCTCCCTTTTTAGAGGAAGTCAGCATTACATGAACCTTCAAAACACACAGATCATATCCAGTTACTAAGCTGAACCCCCAAAACAGCTCTGTGTTAATTCTGCTAGTACTTTCATCAATATTCCTAACACTATCTAGACAACTTGTTGCAGTGAAATCCAGAGAAGAATGAAATCTCCTGTTTAGGAGTGTGCAAAAAGCATAAAGATAAATCTCATAAATCTCATAAATCTCATAAAGATAAATCTCAAGAACATAATTCAATTTTACTTTACTTCCAGTTTCCCTCTCAAATCAGTGTGAAATTCCCCACTGAGTTACCTTAGTCCCAATAAAAGCTGAGTGAGGAAGGTGCCAGTGCCTTGGAGTGATACCCTGCTATTGACAAGTGAGAAGGCCACTTCCTCAGCAATCAACCAATTCCCAGAGCTGTGCCTTTACTTCATGAGGTTCAAATCTCTTTCTAAAAGGGTGCTTTACACATGCTCTTGACTACTAGAAGAGGATGGGCAGGGGATAACTCTGCAGAAGTGGCAAAGATTTGAGTAGCAAAGTAAACCCAGCTTTGCACTAAATGTCAAGTCCTGACTTTATTTCCTCTGCAAAAATATAAATATCTGCACAAATATCACTTTTCGCTTTGGTTTTTTGTTTGTTTGTTTTTTGTTTTGGGGTTTTGTTTGTTTGGTTTTTGTTTTGGGTTTTTGTTTGTTTGGGGGTTTTTTTGGTTGGTTGGTTGTTTTTTTTGGTTTTTTTGAGGTTTTTTTAAGGAAAGTTTACCACATACGTAATATACAGAAAATGCTCACGTAAAAATAGGAATGAAATCATTGTTGCTGTAAAGAGGAGGGGTGGCATACCTTTCCTGTCCATCAAGCTCCAAGCAGCTGGCACCCTATAAATCATAGGAAGCACAGGAGTAATTATAGAACTGAAAGCTAATTATTGTAAATATTCAGAAGTAGCTCCTAGTAATTGCAAGTTAATGTGAGCATGATTACAACCATGACAGAACTGCACACGTCATTTACACTCCTGTTTTTCTCTATTCATTAAAACTACATTTTCTCACAAAGGAACAAGCAACCTAGGCAACCTACCACCTTTTATACTAACAACCTGTTAATATTGTCAATTTTTTGTTCTCTGTCAGAATTAGAGTTGATGTGACAACCCTCAGAACACCAGGATCTGATTACTTTCCCGTTGGGCACCAAACAATGTAGATTCTGCCAGCTTGATCTGTCATCTCCTGGCACCCTTTCATTGCTCCCAGAGGCACTGCAACACATTTATGGTGGGAAATGCCCAGGGCAACTTTCACTGAGAGCAGATGATGGCAACATGTAAAATGGGGTTTAGTGTCAGGGGTGTTCATGTCTTCACCCTTGGGGCATTATAGAGAGAAAACTCTGTCTCCTCCACCCTTAATGGAAGGAGCTTCTTGAGGAAGATGCATCCGCCAGACACATTGTGCTGGACCATGAAGAAATATTTGATTCCTGTCTCAAAGAAGTTATATGGGCAAGACAAATACAATAATACTTCAACCAAAAGATATCCTCTTTCTTGCACGAACATACTAGAACAACTCTGCCACATGACCAAGAGAGAAAGTTGCTTTTCTGGCATCAGATTGTGCTCTGCTCTTGTCTTCAAACAGGGAAATATACAGAACCTCAAATTTTTATTCTGCATAGAGAACTTAGTTTATTTATGGCTCTAATCCCTATTTGATCCTTACAAAGCTATTTACCTCAATTATAAATATTGCTGATAGCAAGTTCTACAAGTTAATTACCACAAGTGTAGAAGAATTGATTTTCATCCACATCCTTATGTTGTTATTATACAATCTCAAATTCTAGCTGTATTCTGCATTTGAGGCAGAATTTTCTGAATTAATACAATGAGCTTTCAAAAAATCCGCCTTTTACCCAGACTCCTATCTGAAATCATTTAGAACATACTATGATCAAGAAGACAAGGGCCTCTCCACTTGATTTGACCAGAAGAAAGTGCTACAGTAAGTGCAGCTTTTACTACTTGGCAGTAAATTTCTCACCATGCTGTATAATTCCGTGCTCCAAAAGCCTGCGGCCGAGCTGCTCTGCTTCAGTTCGTGTCGTGGCCTCTCCTTCCTGGATCAGCCAGTCAAGGAATTCTGATGCTACAAATGTCCGTTCATACTTGACTCCTTCCTCTTCCCTGGCTTGCAGAAGGGTGTTTTCAGAACTCATCAGCCTGGTATTGGGGGGGGGGAAATTGGTATGGAAAACAGTTCTTGAGAAAAGCAATTTAAGATGTATTCTGGCAAATCTCACTGATACTAAGCAAACATATATGAAGTTTTCACTGACTTACTCAATTGCTCCTCAAGCTATCAATTTATAACTGCTTAGTCAAAAAATTTAGGCTATATATCCCTGTGTGAAGTCACTGTTTTCTTGTGTTTTCACCTAAAAGAAAATTAGATTTTTAAGTTTCACATGTCCCTCAGTTAGTCCTCCAGGTTCTCTAAAAGTTACTGTATAATCAACTTTGAAAAAAAATTATCTTAAAAGCACTAGAATGTGACTAATGTGTTCAAAGCTTCCTAATTAATATTTACACTTACCAGGACTATGCCCCGAAGTCATTTAAGTGAATCTGAAAACTCTCCCCATAAGCTCTAAAACAGCTGCAGAAAAATTCAAGAGGAGGAAAAATAGTTCTGTGGTTTGGGTGGCTGATAAATATTGGGCGTACAACATTTACATGGAGCTGTAGTCAGTGAGCTACACACCTGAACACATTTTAACATCTGAGGCTCAGAGTCTCTGCACCTCAGCTGACTCTGTGTAACACCAGAGCTCAGAGGAACACCATGAGATGTCTCTAAATCCCCTAGCAATTGGCACGTACATAGCTGAAGGATATACTAATAAAATTCTTCTCTATTCAAGTTATCTGTGCAAACGACACACTATTAAAAAAAAAAAGGAAGAAAAAAGCCTATTAATGCAAAAGTCAGGTTGAAAGTCTGAAAGAGAAGACAGTTTGAAAGAAAAAATGAGAATTGTTTCCTTTTAACACAGAATTCCACTTTGTTTTGTTTTGTTGAAAGACTGAGCACCATAGCATCCTTAGTTACCAATCTGATTTTTCTTCATAATTATTTTACTTATTATAGGCTAATAATAAGACTAGTGGTAAGACTTTCAGAGTAACAGCTCAGAAATGGAATGGTTATTTTTTTCATGTAAGACTAATAGGTCCCCTCTCTTCACCAACTATTTTGAAATTAAGGGCACAACTAAAGTACAACAAGCATATTCTGGAAGTGCTTAATCTTTGACCTTCTGATAAAGGAATTGAAATTCATGTAAATCCATACATGGGCCATCTGCTTCTTAAACTGCCAGCATGTCCAGGGATTACAGAATATAACCTCACCTCCTTTGGGAAGCATCAGAAAAATCTGTGCCATAAGAAAACAGAGAGAAATTTCATTTGAAATTACAGTGAATAGGTTTGACTGGATCCAGCATCTGTTATTTCACCTGAAATATTTCTTCTCTTGACTTTAACCAGCACTAACCTGAAGCCTGAATTAACTGGATCTGACCACCAGGTAGCAGATCATCAAACCAGGCAAAGGCTACTCAGCCACAGCTGTTTGTCAGTGGCAGCACAATGAGCTGCTCATTTAGACGTTGATGTGTCATTGCCAGCAGCTCTGAGCTGAGTAAGAACTAAGAAAGTCAAAATTAGCTGAAGTCAGGGATGAGGTCAAAAGCAAGAGTATGAGCCATAGGGGACAAGGTATTGACTCCAGCACCTTATTTTTTAATATTTTGATTTACAAGCATCTGCATGCAAGGCAACATTTTGTCCCACATTTTGCATATCTAATACAGACCTAATACGCTCCAAGAGAGTATCTTTAAATGTGTCTTGTTCACCAGGCTTTTTCCCTCCCATTAAAAAATGCAAACCGAAAGCTTGTGTCTTTTTGTACCATCTGCTGCATGGTTACCCATAACTGGTTACCCAGGCTCTGCAGGCACCAAATAAAAAATCCTCAGGATTATGTTAATTGTTCTTTGATGAGTCTGTAATTAGTTGACCAGCTCATTGAAGCTGCAGATAGAGAGGTCCTTGAAAAAGCAATGCTAATTTTTAGAGCTTTACAGACCCACAAAAGAAATCTGGAGAAATATCAAGTGGAAAAAAGCTCAGTTTGACATTTCACACGCTTCTGCATGGGCCCAGAATAGCTGCAAAGGATTCGGACTTGTGAGCAAACAGACACGACAAATTGCCAGTTTAACAAACCCAGACACAGCAATCCATAGACTTACATGGCTCACTGAAGTAAATCACTGTAACTCCATGGCTGTCAACAAAGCTGTACCAATTTACATCAGTCAAAAACCTGGCCTTTCATTAGCCAGAGATGGAAACTGCCTCTTACTCTTCCATTTTTAACTTGTTTCAAGAAAACATGAGGCTATTCATGTCAAAACATATTACTTACTAAAACTGGTGTTATCCTACACTGGAATGTATTTAGTCAAACACTGAAATTCAAACTCCTTTCAGAAGAAATCTTTAATCTTGTTTTATCAAAATAACTGCACTAGAGGATAAATGTGACTTAACTGCTCATGAGTTAAAATGAAAGTGATTCAAAGAATGCAGTCTCAAAATTATCTGAAAGATTTCCTGAAATTAAAACCATAAATCTGCATTTCTTTCACTATGAAATCTGGTTGAAAAAACTCAGTGGTTGTCAGCATCATGAAATGAGTGACAGCTCCTAAACCCTAAACTGCACCAGAAACAACATCTTGTGTGCCTGACCAAAACCTACTGAGAATTGTAAACATACAAACAGGATATCTGCACAACTTTTTTTTTGTTTTTCTTTTTTTTTTTTTTAAGCTACGCAATGTCTGTGCTGGATTTATTTAAGATTTGCAGGGAGGGTTTTGTTGAACAGGAAACATGTTTATCTCATTCAATCTATCTGGTCAGTCCTGTAGAGCTTGAAAACTGATACCAATCTCAGACCTAATAAACTGTTCAACAATTTCAGACAAGACTGTAGGAAATCCAGTGGGTTTCATGTCTAGTTATGAACTTGAACCTCAAAACATGTTCACAGAAAGGTTACCAAAGTTTGCAATGATGTGTAGGGAATCTGAACTGATTTATGATTTCCAGTGAAAATGAAGGGACAATATAATCAGAGACTGATTTAAAATCCTCTAATCATGTGGGTACAGCCACCGAACATGTCCACAGCAGGTGAAGGTGGTAACGCCACAAGAAAGGAGAATCCAGGTTACGAGGAGCTTTGTGGTCATGCAGAAGAGAGACAGGAAAGACAGGGAAAGGGAGCTCCTCAGCATTTGGACAGTCCTTATGTTCCCATCTCCCAGGGCAGAGAACAAGGCTTTTACTCAAAACAACTGTCTGAATGCAGGGAACCTGTCTAATCCATCCATTCCTCTTCCCATGCAACAACTTTCTGATCCTCCTAAAGCATTTTGTTCATTTTACTCACTGAGGGTACAAATCTGCATGGGCTGGTATTGGGTAACGTGTCTGCAATTTTGGCAAGCACAAACTACACTGGCTTCTGAACGCAGCAGTACTCCAGCCCTAATGCAGAGAGTGGAGAAGAAACAGTATTATAATGTCTATCTAAAACTATCAAAGCCTAGTGAAGGTCAGCAACATCTACAAAATTAGACACAGATTTCCAAAATGTGTTGGATTAGGACAGATATCCCTTGGTATAGTTGCATTTTTCTTGCAATTAGGCCCACAGGCATTTTGATAAACAAGCTGAATATGCTGGTAAGTGACTTCATGTTTGTGCATGAGTACTTTCCTCCAGTTGTTGCCATTTAGTAATTATTTTAATTCCACTGAATTAATATTTTCTTTCTCAGCACTATCAGCAAATGGATACAATGGATATATTACCATCCACACATTTCACTGCAGAACTCTTTCTGTAGTAGTCTGACTTTCAGCATTAGATTTTGAGTTTAAAATGTATCCAATGAAACTGTGAAGGTGTTGTTAATAAGTGTGCATGGACAAAGGAACTAAATAAAATCTGAAATCTCTGCACACTAGATTTGCTAAAATAAACAAAGTGAAGCCCAGATAGGTATGCCTTCTTATCTCCCATGAATATAAAATATTTCCGATGATCCATGGAGAATTTTGATTAGCTTTGACTGTCACCAGCTGATTTTGAAATGCCAGGTATTTTTAATCTATACTATATTTAGCACTCAGGGATGGTTTTAAAAGTTTCTGAACCCTTCAGATACGTTGCCTAGGAGCAGCCACCTTGTGAGGATGCTGCTATATTTAGATACAGATGCTGTTTTTGGCATTAACTCCTTTTCTAAGACGGGAACAATCTCTACAGTGAGGAACATTTTTCTGCTAGTACCATGTTGGACAAACTGGACACTAGACATGGGTTTGGGGATAGTTCTCCATGCAGAGAAATGGTGATGGAAGCAGATACTGGTAGAACAGAGTTCTTTGTGTCATGGTTCCTTTCATGCAGAAGACTGGAATCAGCCTCACCAACAAAAAATTATTTTTCTCATGGAAGAATGGAAATAGAAATACAGACAAAAAAAACCACTGTAGACAGTCTAATCAGCTTTTTATAGTACGGGTCAGGCTTGTAGGCATTGCATATTACAGAGTCTAAAGGAGCAAATGCTGTGCTTAGTAAGGCACAGAAGACTTTGGAGGAGGCTGATTCAATCCATCTGTTCCAGTGCATCGAACAGAGGATTTTTTTCAGTGGTGCATTTTTTTATGTCTTATACAATTTATTATTTTTTTTACTTTAAATAGTCACAGTCACTGTATCTCCGGAAATGTTATATGATAGAGGCAACAAAAGGAGTGGTATTTACAACTACTTGTTTATATTTTGATTTCATTGCTCTTTCACCAAAGTGATCTTCACAGGCAGCTAACCTTGAAAATAATGTTTATTATCACCTTTTAAACTTGGGAGTTTCCTGAGTGTTTTCTTTCAAGAGGGAAACAAATTTTCTCTGGTGAGAAAACACAGCATCTCTCCTGACTGCTGCAGGCTTCTGCTCCAAGCAAGCAGGAGAGTGGGTGGTATTCAGTCTAGAGCAATACTTCAAGCTTTTTGGTAAATAACACATCACAACTTTTGAATTAATTTGTAGCATATGCCAACATGCATTTTATTCTCTCTGCTTGAAAGTCAAAATCTCCACATCCTGAATAAAAATGTCATTATGAAGTCTGGTTAAACTATCTAGTTATTTAATGAAGTAATCCAGTGGGATATTCAGTATCTACACATAATAATCTGTTTCAAGTCATAATTAGATGCCTTTTTTTTTTAAACTACTTTTAATATAACTTTTGGGATGTAGAAACTTTGTATACTGGAACACTAAAGATTAATTTCACTTACAATTTAAAATATACCTCTTTATGAAGCTGTAGATATGGTGTCTACACAGATAAGTAGCTGCTTGCTCCATGTATTTTGATGTACTAATGCTTTAGGAATTATGATTATGCTTTCACATGACAAATCATCCTTTAGTAATTACTTTTACAGAATAGATTTCAACATACTTTTCGTACAGTCTTTGTCCTCTCATGAACACCTTCACCTCATTGTCCAGTGGAAACGTCCCGTCATCTTTTCTGAAGCGGTAGAACAGTTTGACATCCTTGAATTCTTTATGCTCATCACAGACTGAAACATAAAATAATTAAATAAAAAAACAATCACATATATGTTGAGGAGTTAAGGATCCATTTACCAGGTACCGCTGCTGAACTTCAAAGCAAGCACATATAGAGTCTAACCCCCTCTATTTCTGAGCTAACAACTTTGCTCTGTTCTAATAACCAGTGAAAGGCTGGAGAAAACTTTCAGACAGGTAACCAAATTTCAAGATGAGGGAGGTAAGTGTTTGTCAGTTTTGTGAGTATTGCTGCAAAGATAAAGAACAAAAAAGCATCCATCTGCTACGTACTCAGAACACCTCTTGTTGAAAACAGTCTGTTAGCTTCTTTGTTTAAAAGGCCGCCAGTTTAAAATGCCCAATAATTTAAGGTTTGTCAAACTTCTTAAAGTTATTAGTATCAGTTAGCAATGCTGTAGGAAACCTGAGACTCACTAAAGAAAATCAAAGTCAAAGTTAAAATCAAAGTTAAAGTTAAAATCAAAGCCTTCTCCCTCTTCAAATTGTCTGAATTGCTCTGCCATGCCAGCTAGCAAATGGTAGGTACGATAAGGAGCACACTGGGAAATGCCAAATTAGGTTTGTAAGACAGCAGCTGATGATGGACTCTTGTAAATGCAGAACAGAGTCCCATCAAGGGCATAAACTGATGGGAGCCATCCCAAGCAAACTGCTCCTAACAGAGTTGTCAGCCTATATACATAGGGTACATTCTGCACCACAGAAGCAGAAACTGGTACCTCTTTCACTTGATATGGGAGCTGAAGCATCCTGCAGAACCTGATTGAACCTCCCTGAATTTGCCTACCCTAGCTCACTTTCTAAACTATTTTATTAGAGTGCAATATACGAAAATTTTCAAGAAACAGCTGTTCCATGTGTAATATATACACACACATATATATGAAATTCATGTGGAAGCTACAATGTGCAATTGGATCCTGTGGTAGAAAACACTTTGAGGTTGTTAGAGCTTTAAACAAGCATTCAGCAATAAAGTCTCTATTGCTCAATTAAATTAAGTCACTCAGGCATCCACGCAACTCTTCACTGACATTTTCTCAATAGAGGATTAAGTAGTCAGATTTGAATACCCTATAATTACTTTATTCTTTAACTATCTACCATGAGTTCCAGTTTCCATAACTACACAGAATTTTCATTTAATAGCCAAGCAGAAGCTGTAGAAGTGGCAGTCATTCAATACGTGCATTTCTGACTCTAATTAAGGTGTTGTTAATGTACTGCAGATAGCAGCAGCATTGCTGTACATACAATGACCTCTGCATAAAGTCAGCATTTGTTTGTTCGCAGTCACTCAGTTTTCTCTTTAAAAAGAAACAAACGGTACATTTGCCTTTTTGATATGGGTAATACTATAGGCTTGAAATCGAGGCCTTGGGTCTTCTTCGCTTGTGTGCTTCCCAGCCTTTCTGTGCCCCAAAAGGCAACTAAATGCTACCATTGAATTGGAAGTCTCCTTTTCATCAGCATAAATTGTTATTCAAGAAGCTGAAAGGAACAGATCTCAAATAGACAACAAGTTTAGGAGAAAATTAATCAGGGCACAGCCGGACCGCTAACTTCTTGCAGCTGTACCAGCACTAATGTTTGCACAGCTGGTGTGAGGAACAGGGACAGGGAACTAATCCACGTGAGAAAAATGATCTTTTTTTTGCTGGCTGATTTTTCAGATGGGTTTTTCAGCTGGAGAGCTGTGCTCTTCGGAGCAGGGAAGTGAGGGTAGCAGGTAGAGGGGTGGGGCACAATCCAGCTGGGGCTGCTCTGGAGGCAGGGAAGCAGTATCACAGTCTCCAGTATCTTACCCTGCTACCTTGGGTCACTCCACACCTCTTCAGCCTCTCATGTCCTTCAGGACACAGGGGACCTTGCACATCAGCACAGTCCAAGGGAGGTGCTCTATTTCTGGCAGGGAAAGAATCCTACCTGTCCTATACTCAGTTGAAGAGCAGGAGTGGGATTTCCCTTTGTTTCACAAACACTCAATAAAATTTAGCTTAGAACTTTTTAGCAGCTGATATTGCACTCACCATGGTGGATAATGCTGTGATCCAGTAATTTCTGCACCAGTTTAATGGCTGTCTCTCTGTCAGAGGCCTCTTTGTGGTCAATCAGCCAGTCGATCAGCTCTTTGGCAACGAAGCAGTTCGGGTACGTTTTGAGGTGGTGCCGCCGATCTTTAATGACCTTTTCTTCATGCAGTCGGAGCCTGGGGGTCAAATCACCTTCTGAGTATCATTTGCAAAGAGCCTTTGTAACTAGAAAGACTAGGACAAGAGTGGAGCAGCACTCAAGCCCTGCTCAAAGGATGGGCTTTCAAGGTGTTGGGTAGAATAGGAAGAGACCCGGCCACACCTCCACTGCTGGCATCTCACAACCAGGAAACCCACAGCAACCATTTGTTACAACTTTAAACTCCATAATTGAAAAAATTTGTTTTCTGCTCAGTGGAAAAGTTTAAAAACTGAAGAACAGAACAGCATACTAAATCCATTAAAATACTTCCTGTAGGTCAATTAAACTGCCAATAATTTGGAATTAATTTTCCCACATTACCTCTAATACGTTCCATGTTACTCCTTTATTTTATAGTATCACTGCTGAAGATTCTTTTTTCTTTTTTATCTCATTCATTTTTTCAGTTGTAGTTTCTCCCTTGGTTGGGTAACTGCATTTTGCCTCCAGCTGCACAACAAGCATAGCATTTATGATTTAAAATTCAGGTGTGAAGCTGTTCCAACACAATGCTATCTGTCATTAAAAAGCTGCCTCCTACTTCAAATCAAGAACTGATTTGTCACTTGGGGACGTGTTGGCAAATGCTCTCTAGCTGCAAAATCTCCCCCATCATCTTGAAAGCAAGTTGGCTGGCTGTTTTTGAGATGTTTGGGTCAGAATGCTAGATCCTGATTAGAGTAATACCTTGTTAATAAAGGTTCTGGGGTTCTGCATCTTTATTTTTAGTAAATTTTTTTCTAAATAAACAAAATAAGCAACATTACCAATAAATTAATGGATAGAGGTTTCTGAAGTTTTGTTTAAGTTTTATGCTTTCTTGTTCCATTTTAATGAATCATATCAGAAAATCTTTTTGTAGTGTCATGCCTATACCCCAGTTCTGAGGAAAGCACAGAAATCATAATGCTTGGGCTCCTGTCACAAACAGAAACATTGCTGTTCATTTCCAAGTGGACAGGATCCTACCTTGTAAACACTCTCACTGACTTCAAAGGGTCCTGAGTAATGCTACAATAATTGTAGGGGGTACAAGGGTGATAACACAGAAAAGTGTTAACATGAGCCTCAAAAAGCACAGAGTAATTTTCCTCTCAATGTGACTCCAGTATGAAACAATAATTTCGCTCTAGAATCAAAAAAAAGGGAAAATATTTGGCTGAAATCAGTGAAGAAAGTAATATTAGGGCATTAGACAAGGCTTATGTAGGCATCTACCTAAAAACAGTAGCAAAGCAATGTTTCTGTTCTGCAGTATTTAGCCTTGAACGACACTGGAATGGCCAATCTGATGTTAATTCGAAACCAGCTTTGCAAACATCATTAAAAAATCTAAGAGTTTTATATTAAAAATACTGATAAATCTGATTAGTATTCTGTAAAGAAATGCTGATTAATATTCCAGGCATTGTGAAATTCTCTGAGCTAAAATATCTTTGCTTATAGCACATTTTCCAGATGTGCTCTAACAGCTGTTGCCATGCTCAGAAAGAAAAGCCGACACAGTTTTAATTATAGAACATGCAATTATCAGTATGTCTGATGGAGATTCACAATTAAAATACATTCCAGATTCTCTTAATGTTCATCCAGTCTTATGTCACACAATAATCTGCAAGAACAAAATTATAAAAAGAGTGTGTAATACGTATGCAGACAGCTCAACCCAGCTTCGTGTAAGTCTAAATGGCTGTAGTTCATCTGATACAAGAGGGAAACCACCTTCTTTGTCCACATGTTGCACAGGAGTGTAACAGTACTGGTCTGGCATTCCACAAACAAGTCAGTCAAGAGCCCCAGAAATGAGCATCTAGGTCTTCAATTCTGACTTCAGGCTTTCCTGCAGTTGGTGGGCTTATAAATATTTCAATCTCTCTGCCACGTCAAAAGACACAAGTTCCCACAACAATCTTTTTACTCATTCAGACCATTCACAAAGTCTCTGTATATGCCTTTTTGCCTATATTCCTAAAACTCATAAAAATGTCATAATCTTAATTACTTCCACCCACTAGCTAAAGTGGATCTGAATTTGCTAAGAGGTTATAAAATCATTAAGTCAATGACAGCATGACCACATAAGCCTCAAGAAGCCTGAAAAAACAAATTTACCTCCAATGGATGTGGGAACCTTTGCTGCAGTCTATATCAATTGTATCCATACTGAATTATGGCCATGATAATTTATTTGGAATAAAGAACAGAAGGGGAACAAGTTTTGTCCTTGGTGATGTATGCTGTTCTCTCTGTCAAGGCTCTCTCACCCCTACAAACCTGCTAAAAATCAAACTATATGGAGGAGAAGTAGCTCAGTAAATTGGCATTGTACCCAGTGTAAGCTACAAATACAGAAGTCTAAGGTAAAGTTATTGAGCATATATTGCAGTATACAAATCAAAAGTTTAGGCAGGAATTCAAAAAATGTGTCTGTGTTCATAAGTATTTATCAGGAGATAAATCAAATGGGTCAAAAAGGAATTAAATTCACCAGTGAATGCAATTATACTGGAGCCAATGCCCACATGAAGTCGTAAATTCTTTATCCCTTGGCATTGGGAAACAGGCTTCTCACTCAAAGTCCTTGATGTTTTTCCCTTTAAGTAACATTAATCACTTTACGTCAGCTAGTCTACATGATGACTGGAAAAGACCTAACATCAAACATATTTCTCTCACTAGAAAAAGTTTTTCTCAAGAGCTGATTAGGAGAATTAGCTGACTGACAAATCCTGACCAGCTTGAGAGGAGAAGGGGAGGAGAGGGCAAATAACAAGGGTAGATGGGGAGACACTTTGACTCAATAAGCCTTCGAAAAGTTGACTCTCTTTCTACAACTTAATAGCTGAACACCAGAAAACGATCTTGTGTACACGAGTACATCATCCATACATAATTCCATGCATTGGTCAAGACTACCTGCCAGATTTTGCACAAGGGGCCACAGTCTGCTCTACCTGGAGAAAAACAATGCGAGATCAAAAGCGTTTGAGCAATTGCCTGTGAACTGTAACAGGCATATGCAACCCTTTAATATTTACAAACTGATATCCATGACTCTTAGTCATGCTTACAACAAATAAAGACAGGCTGTATTTGCAAGCATGCATGCCAGAACAGTTTCCTGGGGGCTTGTCCAAACAGGAGTTGCTCCTAATTAACAACATGTAGGGACTCTTGCTCCAAACAGAAGTGCCTTCCTCCTGCATAGCATGGAACAGGATAACCTGGAACACACTGCTTCTGATTTGCAGTAAGTGTGTTCAGAGCTATCTGGAACAATGCTATTTGTTGAGAGGCATTTTCTTTGGTAACTGTCAGAAAAGTCAAGATAATGGAAAAATCTAAATCTTTGCCTAGAAATGAAGGATCAGGCACTAACTTGGGACTAAACTGCTCTTGCAGCTACATGAAACTTGCATTTTGTTTCCAACCAACAGGGACATTTTTATTTCCACGAGGGACATTACACATTTTGAAGTTTCTTGCATCTTTTTCTGGACCAATGGATAAGGACTTAAGAGACAGTGCCTGCACAAGAGTTTAGCTTTACTTTTAAACCCAGAAAAGGCTAGCCTGCTGGATAAAGACAGTAAATATATCATTAACTGGACCATGGTCCAAATATCTCACCCAGCTATTTCCCTTTATTAAGTCTAGTAGTTTGGGCTTGGCTAACATAGATCTTCCAAAGCACTATCCAATCCTGATTTCTATGCATGAAAAGAACCCTAAAAACCTCCTGCTCTTCCTGGTAATTTTCTGAATAAATTATCTGCCATTTCCTAGTACATCCGATACAGTCCCTACATTTATCCTAGCAAGGCTCAGGAACAATGTGCAGAGAACAGGTTGGTCCCTGACACTCTAAATGGACAAGATGGTACGAAGACTTTCATATGGAGCTCCACTCATTCACCTTTTTTAACATTCCTGAAACAATCATACACACACATAAAAATGCATATATCACTGAACTGTAGAACAGTTTGGGTTGTGTTTTAGTTGTGGCTTTTAAAGGTCATCTGGTCCAACCCATCTGCAATGAGCAGACACATTTTCCACTATATCAAGTTGCTCAAAGCCCCTGCACCCTAAACTTGAATGTTTCCAGGGATGGGGCATCTACCACCCCTCTGGGCACCTTGTTCTAGTATTTCACCACCATCATCACAAAAAATTTCTTCCTTATATCTAATCTGAATCTACCATTTTTTAATTTAAACCCCTACCCCTTACTGTATTGCAAGAGGCCCTACTAAAAAGTAGGTCCACATCTTTCTTCTAAGCCCCCTTTAAGAATTGAAAGGCCACAATAAGGTCTTCCTGGAACCTTCTCTTCCCCAGGCTGTTTTTCTGTTTTCACAAGAGGTACTCTATCCCTCTAATCATCTTCATGGTCCTTCTCTGGACTGACTCCAACACGTTGATGTCTTTCCTGTGCTGAGGACCCCAAAGCTGGATACAGTACTCCAGCTGGGGTCTCACTAGAGCAGAGGGGCTGGATCCCCTCCCTTGACCTGCTGACCACACTGCTTTTGGTGCAGCCCAGAATACAATTGTCTTTCTGGGTTGCAATCACACATTACAGAGTCACAGAATCACAGAATATGACAAGTTGGAAGGGACCCACAAGGATTATCAAGTCCAACCTTAGACCATCCCCAAGAGTCACATCATTGTCACATCCATCTTTTCATCCACCATCACCCCAAGTCCTTCTCAGCAGGGCTGCTCTTGATTTGTTCATCCCACTGCCTGTATTGATATAGCAGGGGTTGCCCTGACCCAGGCACACACCTTGCACTTGGCCCTGTTGAACCTTATTAGGCTCCCATGGACCCACTTCTCAAGCTTATCCAGGTGCCTCTGGATGGCATTCTGTCCCTCAGGTGTGTCATTCACTCCTCTCAGCTTGGTGTCATCTGCAAACTTGCTGAGGTTGCACTTGATACCACTATGTCACTGATGATGATA